AAGTGTTGTAGCAGGTTTCCACCTTCAAAGTTTAAAAATTTAAAGTAGGTCGGAATCACAGAAATATTAAAAAAAAGATTATTAGATTAGATTCTTCAATTTATTTGCCAGCTTTATGAAAATGTTCTTGTATGAAGCTCATATATATACCTATCAATTTCAGGTCCATCTGTTTTCTCATATTTTCTTTAACAAAAAACAAATATGACGGACATGGCTGTTATAGCAATCAAAAGAAACGGTATACCAATCCCTAATCCAATGATCAAGTTGACATAATCTGTAATTATACATATATAGAAATGTATAAAAGCAAAACGAAAATATGATTATATAACAATTCGGAAAGAGTTTGTTTTAGATATGGATTCTTCTTCTTCTATGCTTATTCTCTTTAAATATTAGAAATTCATCTGCTGAAAGAGAATCATAAGTATACTTCTCTGCAATAAAAATATTTATCTTGTACTTCTTTGGCTCTGAAAAGGTAAAGAGTACTGAAATTATCATGGGGTTTTGAATGTATTAATAGATGCACATTGACAAATTCAATAATTTTGCTCGATAAATTAAAAACAATACATACATCATCTCCTATTGCTGAGAACTTTTTATTTAAAAACTTACAAACAAAAAGCAAGACCCGACGTTTCAACACATATCTGTCCATCAGAACATGGGGATATATGCTGCAGAAAATCACAGAGATTGAATATTTAAGCAGTAATACACGTGTTCTGAAATGTTTATTTTACCTGAGAGATAAGATGATTATTTCATAAAGCTGGTTATTGTGTTCCGGAAATGTCCAGTAAACTGAAAATGAATAGAAAATTATTTTTGTGTGATTTACATGAACACAACTACAACAAGGCTAAAAATAATTTTAAACACTAACTATGTTAAAGACATTATCGATATAGCTTTCGTCTTCTCTTGAAACTCCTCTTGTGTTATTTCAACGGCCAGGGTTGTTTCTGCTCTAAACATGGTTTCTTTTGCAGCTTTTATCAAGGTTAAAAGAGCTTTCATTTTATTTCTCATACTTGTCAAAACTAGTTTATTATGCTTTTTTTTGAATAGTTAATTTTTCATATATTGTTTAAAAAAATCGTACAGAAAAGGGATTTAAAACTACATTTTGCTATATCACTTACTAGTTGTATACGGCTGTACTGGGCTACAATGAAAATAAGAAGGATAATAAGAGGTTGAAATATCTTTTCCATTATGTTTCTTTAAAATATCTAAAAATAATTTTTCTTATACAAGCACTTTCCACCAGCGGTGACATTGGTTCCATAGCGACAAGAACAGAAATATCTATTTTCTCCATTTTTCATAACGCAGTCCTGCAGATCTGGGTCGCATACAGCATTCCTACAGTCATATACGGGAACATCACAATAAGTCCCCCTCCCCTTATCATCACAATCACGTGTATTCTCCATCACATTCTCCATCACATTTGCATCTTTCAGAACATTGGGTACCGTACCTTTTTGCATTACATGCTAAAAATATAATGACATAAAAATCATTATCAAAGTCCATGAAACAATATATAAATGGTGCCTGTTTTGGAGGGTAACAGTTGAAATTCACACCCCGAGGAAAACCATTGTCAACCGACGAGTCAGCGGAGGTTGACAATGGTTTTCCGAGGGGTGTCAATTTCAACTGTTACCCTCCAAAACAGGCACCATTTATTTTATTATACTGAATGTCTTCTTGATTTAGGAAGTGAAAAAAAAATCGTCGATCGTCTCTACGATCACGTTTAAAAAGCTTTCAAACTCCACGCTACTTCGAAAAAGATTTACTGACCTCTTTATTGTTTATTTGATACTCTAAGAGTTCTTTATCATCTAAAATTTTGTTATTTCTGCACTCGCAAGCATGTTTCGTCTGTCGTGTGTTGTTTTCAAGTAAGCTACATCGGACGCAAGCTTTCATCGACGTCAAGTTTATTCCGGTTCTTTCAAACGCACAACTGACGTTTTGAATATTCTACGGTGAACCGTACGCGCATAATTTCCACGCATGTAACATTACCGTTTTGTTACCCGTTGTCACGTGTGTTGCTAAGGCTGAGGGTAATAGAACGGATTGTTAACTGCGTCTAAACCAATCAGATTTTAGTATTTAACATGAAAGTATAATAATACCAAATAGGAGCAGAGAAGAAACGAACCTCCGAAACATCAGAGGTGGGACCAGGTGCCATGGAGGAGTGAACATCCCCTGCTGACCGGTCACACCCGCCGTGTGCTCCTTGTCATGATCAGGAAATAACGGAAAAATCCGTCGCCAATTCAGTGAATAAATAATGGACTAAAGATAAGTATGAAAAATATCAGTCAGCATTTGACTCCATGATAAATTGTATTTGCTAACAAGGTCATTGTATCGACCATAGAACTTACGAAATTATGACATTAAACGAGACTGCTGAAATTCTTGTTGCATAAACTTGTTTGTCAATAATTTACCTCGTTTTAGAAATTGTTCATACGTAGAGCATGCTCTTGTGTATCGAATCAACTGAGATATATACACTCAGTATGCAGGTGATAAATATATATTGTTGCATAAATAAGAGAAGTTGACGATAAAAAAGTTAAAGTCATCACGTTTATCATATAGCTTGGTTCTTAGATTACCGTTAACGTCTTTTTCAAGTAAAATATCCAAGTATGAAACAGATGTGTCAGACTCTGTGGTATCTTTTATCTGAAGCTCACCACGAAAATCGTATCGACGTAGGAATGGAAATTACCATTGTTAATAGAAAATACGTCGTCGATATATCTAAATGTCGAGTTAAAGGCCACAGGAAGTGTTTTCTTTTTTTCTTCTTTTCAGACATAAAATTTTGCATAAATTTGATATATTTTTAACCAAAAGCAATGGTTTCGCTTGTTTAAGTTTACTAAACTCAAATTGAATTTCGGGTTAAAAAGGTAACGTGGTCTGAAGACTAATTATAGTATTCAAAACATTATTCACATCGACAGAAAATTTATTATATAACTCATTAAGTCAAATGCTGACTGACGTTTTTCATACTTGTTGTTAGTCTATTATTTATATACTGAATTGATGACGGATTTTCCTGTTATTTCCCGATTATTACAAGGAGCACACGGCGTGTGTGACAAGTCAGCAGGGGATGCTCACTCCTCCATGGCACCTGATCCCACCTCTGATGTTTCGGAGGTCCGTGTTTGCTCTGCTCCTATTTGGTATTGTTTTATGGACTTTGATATTGAATACTGTTTGTTATTTCCATATCGTTCATATCTCTTAATTGAAATATCCATATTTTCAATCATTTTATCTGTTGCACCATGACAAAAGTATGAAGGCAACATATCATCTCGCCGTGGAATTCGGTCGCGCTATGACCTCTTACCCCCAATTAACTTCTTACAGAATGTTTTCTCTTCCATAGGTTTATCTAACAAACATATTTGCAAATATAAATATATGGATATTAATACTGATATTTACTTGAGTAAAAAGGGAATTGCAATACTTTGAAATTTCACTTAATTTACCAGTGAAATGTCTCCTGAAAATGCCAAATTACCTAACCTCGGTGACATTCAAGGGCACAGGCTATTTGTCAATGGCTGAGATCTTCTGTGGATCAGTCTGAATACCTTCTTCGGATACTTTATATCCCACCGCTGCCACCAAAATGTAACGTGTGACCTAGGGGTTCGTTTTCAAGGGATACAGGGTCTTAATATTACCCAAATATATATAAACTTTTTCTCTGGCTCTATCTGAGCCTATAATTAATACTGGGTATTATAATTATTTAGAACAATGATTATCTATTATTTTCATGGGATACTTGTCCTTGGTTTTTTTATTTTTTTTTTATAAACAATGGGATCTACAAGCCGTGTTTCTTTGTTACCAAGTACTACATGTAAGACTGGGCTCCCTGCACCTGGTTCCAAAACCAAGTTTCTATTGTAATGAGTACTCGGTACCTCACCCTTATCCAGGGTTACTATACCTTGCACTTCACCACAATTTCTTGGCTTACCATTTACCGGCGCTCTGTACCCCAGCCTTAATTTAATTTTACTGTTTTGATTCTTCTGTTCTATTATTACCTATTATCTTCTTTTCAACTTTTCACTTTCGGATTTCGGAATGGTCGAGACTGTAGTCATTTATATAGCCCAGGGCTATACTATTCAAACAGGGGTGAACAGGCTCTTGGAATGTTCCATTATTCCAGGTCACACCAACGTTTGAATGGTATAGGCTTTTTTCACTATTACTCATTACACAAAAGGAATATGTAGAATCAACGAATAAATGAAATTTAATTATCATTCATTGATAAGACGTTATTTATAAATAATATAAAGCTAACATACAGTAATCAAACTAAGACGTTTCTTCAATAATACAAATTGGGAGCAGAGCAAACAGACCTCTAAAAACTTCAGAGGTGGGATCAGGTGCTATGGATTGGTAAGCATGCTCTTTGTATGAGCAATTTCTAAAACGAGGTAAATTATTGACAAACAAGAATATCAGCAGTCTCATTTAAAGTCATCCGTAAGTTCTATGGTTGACAATGACCTTGTCGGCAAATTCAATCTACCATTAAGTGTTGACTGACGTTTTTCATACTAATAGTTAGACAATCATTTACACACTGTATTGTAGACGGATTTTTTCCGTTACTTCCCGATCATGACAAGGAGCACACGGCGGGTGTGACCGGTCGGCAGGGGATGCTCACTCCTCCATGGTACCTGATTTCATCTCTGATGTTTTGGAGGTCCGTGTTTCCTCTGATCAAAAATTTGTATTGTTTGATTTCGGTTGTCTCCATATAATTCTCTAAGTAAATGCTGCTTTATGCTTTGGGTTGGAAGTGTAATCGCTTTGCTCTGATATAACGCTGATAAGTATGCCAAATAATTAATGTTTCGAGTATTCATTAAATTCAGATTAATGACTAACAACTAATGGTTTAATGGTTTAATAGAAGTTCATTTGACATATGTCATGTACATGTAGTCTTGTTTCCGTTCTCTCTGAAATAGAAGCAAGCTAGCATCATAAATGTAAGCTTATATACCGGTATTTCAAAATCTTTTCTCAGAAGCGGTATATCAGAAATAATGTACCTGGTAATTTGTATTATATATTGAATTGATCCTTTAAATTTATTTGACATATTTAAATAACATATCAAAGCATTATCAACTTTTTCAATTTTTTGATTACATGATAATTTAACACATCATAGAGAAAGACAAGGTCAATTCTATTAGTGCTTTACCTGTCCAGTTACTTTTAACAACCGACACACTTGCAAACACACCAGCCTGATCCACAGTATCCGCCCCTACAGCTGAGTTCGCTCTGGCAATAATTACTGCACGTCTGGTCGTTGTGATACACACAATAGCAACCATTCCCTGCCATGGCAACTTGGACAGAGGCTAGAAAATATTTACTGTCGTACATTGATTTATATTTCATGCCTTATATTACATTACTGATTTTTAGATTAAGACATAAAGTATATACGAGGGTCATTAAAATGTAGTCAAAGTCTTTCATAATCATATTATTTTTACAAGAATTTAGATCAACACATTTTCTTATGTAAAAACACTCACTTTGTCGATGTCTGAAGATTCATTCCATTTGATTAAATGGAACTCATGATAGTCCATTTTAAAAGCAACAGGTTTTGTCACCACGAAGCACGCTTAACAACATTAACAACAACGTCAAAAACAACACCGAGAATGTTTTTCAAAATTACCTTGCCTTTCTTTTTCATACATGGTTTGAAGCGTCTTACACATTCATAAAAACGTATCCAGAACGCTTTACCTATACTATTATCAGTTGTTCGAGTAGCTTATGTTAGATTGTCAGTGTTTTCAAATTCTTTACCGCGTAACTCTGCCTTCACAAGTTCCAAAGAAGTGAAGAACACATCACGTTTCATGACGCTACAAAATCTTTTGACAAAATTTTAACGATAATATAGTTCTTCGCAGACCCTAAATCGTCCGATTTAAAGTATCTACCTCTTAAAAAAATTGCATTTTCCATGTCTATACAAATGCACAGCTCATTTTTATATATTTCCTGGTTCATCCAGAATTTACAGAGTTTGTTTTAGAATCTCTCCGAATGCAAAGCTTCGTGACGTCCTTCGACGTCATCTTTTTTGCTCTTTTAATCAAGTCTATCTGTCTTTAAAAATTGACATTTTTTTAATGAAGCAATGCATTACATTATATTTAAACATCTGAAGTACTAGAAAAATACAAAAATTTTAAAAAATATATTTCATTTCGTTTAAGCGCCGTTTATTAGAGGTATGATTATAGACATTATAAAGTGTACAATAAGTAAATAACTCAATTTTGACCCTGCTCCTTGACTCCATTTTTGCTGTACTAAATCTTTGATTTTGGTAAATTTCAAGATATACATGTGTATTCATTTTTTTTACTCAAGTTATTTGAATCTATTGTTAAAATATGTGGATAAAATTTGGTCATAATATGACGTTAAATAACAAAAAGGTTATGACAAAAAAAAGATTTTTTGAATGATCCCAGTATCGAGTGTCGAGTTATTTAATCCAAATTATTTCGTTTATGGGGTTTTCCTATTGTAAAGTATGTTTCCTCTATTTTAAACTGTAGGAAGCGTAAGATCTTTGTGATATTCGATGTAAAAATATGAAGTACCTACCAAGCAAACACACACACAGCACGATCAGAATGATGGATTTCATCTCTAAGTTTAGATTTAATTCTGTGAATGAAAATATAAAAATCTACACATCTTTATATTTATACATTAATATAAAAATCAAAAGCCTTGAAAAACATAAGATAAAATACACACGACACGTAGAGTTGCTTAAAATTGTCTTACTATCTCGTTTTATCATCTTATTTGTAAGTAGCTATGATATATTTTAGAGCAACTATGCTTGTCAGAAGTAATTTCGATTAGAAAAGTTTTGAGATGCTTTTTCAAAACGACTTATAGTAACAAATATAAAAACATACCAGTAAATTTTCCAACAGTTCCGAACAGCGGTAGAACCTCCGTGGATGCTTGAAAAAGACAATTGTAACAGGATAATCAAATCTAATTTATATCGTCTTTTCCAGTGGCATGTCCTGCAAGATCTTTCGTCGTCAATTAAATTTTAATTTTCAAATTTAATATTTTTTTCAAACCAAAGACTGAGATGATGACTTACTGACGTCAAGAGTTTCCTCGTTCTACCTTTCGTCAACAGTTACACATCCTTGATAAGTGACATGTGCTCTTTTGTTTTTCGATGTTCAAAAGAATAAGTAAATATTGAAATGATGTTATACAACAATTTTTTTCTTAATTCACACAAAATAATTCAGAGATACTTAGAGTTCATTGAAATATCATATTTTATGTAAATTAAAGTTACACAATGGGACAAAATCACGTGTGACAGACTTATGAAAATTATGAGTATATAGCAAAGATATGACAATTAAACTGCACTATAAAGCGAGAAAAGACTGCACAATATAAGTGCCGGAAAAACAAAGGTTGTATCTACTGTTTCGTTGTTTTCGTGTATGTCAAGGTCATGCCACTTTTATATTTAGATCTAACTTGTAAACAACATTCAACTGGAACATGCAAAGGTGAGAAATATGTTCTAACAACTTTTTAAAAGGATTGCATAAAAATTTTTGATCTACTTATATTCCTGGGTACTTGAGATCATAGTAACAATGGTAACATTCAAATTTTCTGCGCCTGCGTACAATAGGGAGGAAGAAGTAAAGCAATATTTTCGTTATAAAATTAGTTTTACTTTTATTTTTTTTTCCATAAATGTAGATTTTTTTAGGTTCTGAAACCTCTAATTTTCTAAAACCTATTACTTTCAGGAATTGATCACAATTTTCTCGGGTCATGAGAATTCTACGTTTGACAATTTTCCCCTTTGTGTGTCACGGTGTTTATGTAAGTCTTTCAAACACAGGTCTGAAATTTAAACTGAATGCTGAAAATTTTCTAAAAATCATATAAAAACTGGCATAGCCTACATTGTGAATTCGTGAACTGATGACTTCTTCTGACTGATGAATGAAGATAAATCGTTAAAGAAATCAATTTTGAATAAATTTTCTTTTATTATTTTTTTATGTTTTTCATGCATTTAATTTCTATTCTTACTGATATATAATGTGAAATTTCGCATATCACTATCATGCCACGGATAATCGAGAATGAAATAAATTGCACCCTTACGAAGAGGCGATGTCTCAGTATGAGTGAAAAGTTCCAGAAAGAGGCGCTAAAAATGAAAAAAAAAACCAAACAAATGAAAGAGCTTATGAAAAGACGCCTTGCTTTTACTCGTTTTCCATTAGGTGTAATATACATGCATGGCCAGTATGGATCAGAAATATTTCATTATTGGTTTGTTTGTGCTTTTTAACAAGTTCTCGTAACTAAAATATCTGGACATTGTTTTGTGTACAACCTATGCTCAGATAGAAACGGTTTTAGGGGAAATCCTAATCCCTTTGAGAATTTTTTAGTTATTTACTTTAAATAGTAAAGTAACCAAACAATTACCTTGGACTTTAACTAAACACTCTCCTCCCTATTGTAAAGTGACTATAAGAGCTGTCTTATGATTCTTATAATTCTCATTTTATTACAAGACGAGTGTAACAGGTGAAAGGGCTCTGATTACTTCTCAATACACGTTATTGAACGTCTCGGATTTTGATTGTTTATATATTTTCTTGTAGCTAGAGATAAAAGATACCACAGAATCTGACACATCTGTTTCATATTTGAATATTTTACTTTCAAAAAGACGTTAATGATAATCTAACATCCAAGATCGATGATAAACGTGATGACTTTAACTTTTCTTTCGTCAATTAACCTTACTTATGCAGCGATATTGCTTCATCACCTGCATACGGGGTTGATATATCTCAGTCGATTCGATACACAAGAGCATACTCTATGTATGAATAATTTTCAAAACTAGGTAAATTATTTACGAACAAGTTGAGTAAACAAGAATATTATATCAGCAGTCTCGCTAAAAGTAATCCTTTCGTAAGTTTTACCTTGTCAGCTGATACAATTTATCATTGAATTAAAAGCTGAATGACTTTTTCAAACTAATTATTAGTCCATTATTTATACACTGAATTGACAACAGATTTTTTTGTTATTTCCCGATAATTACAAAGAGCTCACGGTCGGCATAACCGGTCAGCAGGGGATACTCACTCCTCCATGGCGACTGATCCCACCTCTTATGTTTTGAAGGTCCTTATTTGCTCTGCTTCTATTTTGTATTGTTTTTTGTAATTTTAGCCTTGAACACTTTTTGTTATCTACATATGTTTCATGAAATATACGGAGACAACGAACAGTATTGAACTTCAAAAGTCCAATTAACAATGCAAAATTGGTGTGGAGCACACTTAGACCTCCAAAACATCTTAGGTATCATTACGTCCAAAGCCGAGCAATATTTTTCATGCTAATTGTTAGACTCTTTAATCCGAATTGTCAGCGGATTTTTTCTGTTATTTCTTAAACATGACAAGAAGTCAAGAAGCGCTAGGTGGATGTGATTGGTTGGCAGGGGATACTCACTCCTGATCCCGCCTATGATGTATGAGGGAGCAATGTTTGCTTTATCTCTGATATTCATTGCTTGAATAGACTTTTTAGCTGATATTCTGTTCGTTATCTCCAAATATTTAAAACAGACATTCCTCTCTATTGCGATGGATAAAAAACAAAACTAAGTCTTTTATGGATGATTTATTATTAATTTAAATTAAAAATGAAAACATCCTTCATTTCAAATAAAGCAAAAAGAAAATAAAATAGCTGAATATAGATCTATACAAATTCATATGTACTTGGTTTATTGATCTATCGGCAATGAATAGGGAAAATTACTTGCAAACAAAAAGAAAAAAATTCTAAAACAATGTTATGTTAAAGATCGTGACTGTATTTGATTTGTGTTTGTAGAAACTTTTTAAAAAAATATTCTACTTCATCTGTAATCTAATTATTATCAACATATTTATATTTCAAATGTTGCTGACACCAACAACCAACCCTGATCTTAAGAGAACTACAGGTTAAAAAAATTTGTTACCAGTAGAAACAAATAAAGAAAATTATTCTAAATGTCAAGTAAAACACTCCTTTTATACTTGATAGTCTAAATACGATATCCCTTCCTATATAAAATGAATTAATCTCAAACAGCACATGACACAACAAAGGTAATATTTGTATACAAGAGTACTAGTTAAATATAGGTCATACGACAGTATTAATCTAGAAAAACTACATGTATATTACAAAAAGAAACTAAAGTAACATTATTATTTTCACACGAAAGAAAAAAAACCTTTATTCTCTATGGCGACTTGTAAAGCTGTCTCTCTGTAAAATATAAAATTATAAATTTATATTCTACGATTGTTTAAGGATTATTTCAAAATAAATTGAACAAAACAAAGGGAGGATCAGTACAACATGGATGGATGTTAAGAATAAACATATCCTTACAAACAAAGGATTGGGTCTCCTTTCAGCGACAGGTCTTCTGATTTCAAACTTAAATATAAAAAATTAATCAAATAATATCAATGAATTATCTCAAATTCAAGACTCAAACTCAAATGTTTTTCAATAAGAAAATCTTACCGATTTTTCTGTAGGTAAATACGATCGCGTGAAATCCCAGAAAGAATCCGAATTACTTTGATCTGCAAAAATATGCATGTTATAAACTGTATTTAATCAAACCCTCAATAAAGCAATTTGAGCTGCAATTTTGAAATTTTATTTTGCTAGTAAAATGTGTTATATGACAAATTTTTTATGTAACTTAAACCATTATGATCAATTAGACTAAAAAAAAAGCAGTAGAAAGACGGTCTACATTCAATCAATGTACGGTTTCATATAAGAAATCATTATTGTACGGGACGACAATAATGTAATTTTGATTCAATTGAAGCTTATAAATAGTTCTCCCATCGCAAATATGAACAAAAGAAATTTATTAACGTTATTTTTTTTGTCATTGAAATAGTTATTTACAATTTTACAACAAAACTGTCCAACAAGTTGCAGCTCATGGTTAACCCTGAAAGTTGCAACAACATAGAAAATATTAATGTCTGTGTAATGACAAATATTGACGGTGCCACCATAATTTTCCAAAGAATTGGTGTAAAAACATTCAAGAATATACTTTGAATCCTGTCAAATACAACCAAAAAGTACGCTGCTTTGTATTTTTGATTATATATTTCCTACCATATGGTCGCCCGCGTGGCGCAGTGGTTAGAGAGTCTACTCTAGAGTCCTAAAGTAAGCAGTTGATCCTTACGTCGCGGGTTTGAATCCCTCTGTGAAACATGGAGACAGGTCCTTTGGATAAGACCATATAAACCGACGTCCCGTGTCGCAGTAAGTTCTGGCACGAAAAATGAATGGACCTAAGTGCCAAGCATATGACAAAATTTGTAGCCATCCATCGGAAAGTGTTGGTGTCTCCATTTGAATGAAAAATTCTTTAAAGGGACGTAAAATAACACACACTCACGCAATCATTTCATATGTAAAGTCATAAATGAATTATATGGACTTTATTCTAAATTTTACTACTCAAAATTCGTCTATACTTCATTTATGCATAAGGCTCACATCAGAAAATAAACATTTTTTTTTGTTTTCCTAGGCATCTGATTCACCAGATAATGATGTTATCTAACAAGAATTAAAATTAGAAGAATATGTTGACTTTAAATACGGCAAGTTCGGCTATGCATTTTAGGATTAAAATCATGTACGTTTATTTCAACGTATATTTATAAGATAAACTATGATTAACAACAGAGATAATGGTTTAAATTCAAAACTTAAAGTGTCTGTTTGATTTTTCAAATGTTAAACTTTAAATTCAGCCCATTATTTGGATGTACTACATGCGGGGAAGTTGCACAAAAAGAACCGTTTATTTCCTGTTGTGCTGCAGAATATTCAAATATTTTAAATGTGTCCTTTATCCTTTGTTCCGAAGTTTTAATTTCGTATAATGAAAAAAAAAAGATTAATATTCTGATATAAGTATTGATTTCGAATGGATAAGAAATATAAAAAATTATATTTAAAAACATGCATATTAAAATGCATGAGTATATTAAAACGGGGAAATGGTGTATACACAAGCCATTTATCCTACCAAGATAACACCCCTTGTGGCCATCATCATTCCTAATCCCTGTGGTACCCTTCTGATGCCATGTGGGCGTGGTGTTTGAACTTTGTATCGTAATATTGCTCTGTCTCCTGATATCGCTTTCCGAGGACCATGGAAATTTTAAACTAAACGGAACTTTGCCATCTCTGCCGACGGGTATTCTTGATTCGAAGGCATCACTGCCTTCATAGGATCTGTCATGTTGAATATTGAATGTGAATATCAGCTTGTTTTTAATTCAAACATATATATTACGGTTGTTAAACAGCCAGAAACTACAAAAATAATCGAATCAGAAGAGAATGCAAGAAAATGTAACAGAAAGTATATTTCTTGTTCGAAAGAATTTAATCAGCACATAACGTGCTGAATGAAATATATAGAAATATATGGAGAAAAATATTTTTAAAAAGTGTTGTAGCAGGTGTCAATGTTTAAATTTTCAAAAGTTATAGTGGGAGGGAATCACAGAAATATATATAAAAAACTATAAGATTAGATTTCTCATTTTATTTGAAAATGTTCTTGTATGAAGCTCATATATGTACCTATCAATTTCAGGTCCATCTCTCTTCTCATATTTTCTTTTACAATAAACAAAAATGACGAACATGGCTGTTATAGCAATCAAAAGAAACGGTATACCGATTCCTAATCCAATGATCAAGTCGACATAATCTGTAATCAAACAAATATAGGAAGGTATAAATGATCCGGCATAAAAGCAAGATAAAAATGTGATAATATAATATTCCAAAAAGACTTTGTTTTAGATACGGACCCTCACTCTCTTTAAATATTTAAGATGTAATTGCTGTAAGAATTCATAAGTTTACTTCTCTCCAATAAAACTATTTACCTTGTACTTCTTTGGTTCTGCAAAGGAAAATAATACAGAAAAATTATTGGGTTTTAAATGTATAAGTAGGTACACACTGACAAATTCAATAATTTTGCTCGATAACTTAGAAGCAATATATATACATCACCTCCTATTGCTGTGAACTTTTTTCGAAATACTTACAAACAAGAAGCAGGACCCGACGTTTCAACACATATCTCTCCATCAGAACACGGAGATATGTGCTGCAGGAAGTCACATTGATTGTCCGCATTATCTAATACCAGTTCTGCGAAAATGTAAAACACAATTAGTCATGTAATCTTTATCGTCTGTGATGAAATTTTTCTTTTGATTAACAAGTTGTCTAAAAAGTGTAATTTACTACATAGATATGGCTGAAATAATGACGGTGTAAAGGAAGATATATTCGATCAATCAGTAAAAATGTAATTCTTTTAAAATAAAATTTGAATAAACAATATCTTATAACTCAAAAGATATGTGACAAAAAACGAACCATTCCCTTGCTCGTTGACAATTTTGACAAGGGAAACTGTACTGTTTCTGTCCAGGGATTCCAACACAACAGATTTACCCAACAGCTGTTTTGTGGCCCATACATACTGGCCTGCCTGGTTATGTGGAATCTCATTTTTTCTTGCAATTATTTCATATTTGATGTTCAAACTTCCAAGTCTAAAACAAAAATTTCAATCATACTAAAAGACTAAACATCTATTTTTACAATACTTTAAACTAGCATCTTTTATCACTTGAAATGTAAATCAAATAATTTAGAATATGACTGTTAAAGAAAGTTTATATTGTACAAAATACCTGGTATTAAAGCAGTGATTCAGAGGTTCTGAAATGTTCATTTTACCTGATAGATAAGATGATTAATTCATTAAAGCCGGGTATTCGGCTCCTAAAATGTCCAGTAAACTGAAAATGAATTGAAAATTATTTATGTATGATTTACATGAACACAGCTATAACAACGTTTCAAATCATTTAAAACACTCACTATGTTAAATACGTCGTCCACAATAGCTTTCGTCTTCTCTTGAAACTCCTCTTGTGTAATTTCAACGGCCAGGGTTGTTTGTGCTCTAAACTTTATTTCTTTTGCAGCTTTTTTCAAGATGAATAAATATAACATTTTATTTCTAATACTTGTCAAAACTATAATGATATCTTTTTGAGTAGTAATATATTTTCTTATGTTTATAAATAAAAATCATAGAGAAAGGGATTTAAAATTACATTTAGCTATATCACTTACTAGTTGTATACGGTTGTACTGGGGCTACAATAAAAATAAGAAGGATTAGAAGAATTTGAATTGTCTTTTCTATTATGATTCTTTAAAAAATCTAAAACATTTTTTTCTTACACAAGCATATTCCACCAGTGGTGCCATTGGTTCCATAGCGACAAGAACAGAAATATTTGTTTTCTTCACTTTTTCTGACGCAGTCCTGCAGATCTGGATCGCAAACAGAAGTTCCATTCCTACAATCATCTACGGGAACATCGCAATGAGTCCCATTCCACTTGTCATGACAGATGCACATTCCCGTGACGTCATCACAATCACGTGTATTCTCCATCACACATTTGCAGCTTTCAGAACATTGGGTACCGTACCTATTTGCATTGCATGCTAAAAATATAACAAGACATAAAATCAATCTCATATTATGTCATCCTAATAGTTCTACACTATAATGACTTCTTTAGACTGGAATATCTACATATAGCTTTTATCATGATATAATCAACAATGAATGAAATAATAAACCATTGTTTCAGACTCTGATTTTGATCACGAAGACATAAATTCAAATTTGGGGAGTATATGTATCTTCGTTTTGACATACAAAAAAGGAACAAAGTGTCATATTCTAAAGAAATAATTTATATGAGCATAAGGCAAAAGAAAACAAACTTTTCTTGCCTGAGCAATTGATACCATCTCCTGAGAATCCAGCATTACATATACAATTGTAGCTATCTGCTGTGTCTTCACAAGTAGAATTCATGTGACAGATGTCGATCCCTGCCTTACATTCGTCAAGGAACTCGCATGTAGTTCCATTCCAATATTCTTTACACGTGCAGTTACCATTCACATTATTACAGTCTGCTGTACCATCCATATTGCACTTGCAGGTTTCTAAACATTGATCTCCAAACATTATACTGTTACAACCTTCATCAAAATAAACACATTAATATTTGACTAGATGCAGAAATCCAACTACAAAAATACTAAAAATAAGTTCTAAGTTTCAAAAATGCTTTAACAAGTGACAGAGAAATTATTTTTGAAAAATCAACACATCTTCTGGTTTATTATGAAGAAAGCAAATATATATAAGAGCAATACGAGATAAACTGTGAAAACACTCACCAACACAGTGTCCATCAACAAGTTTGAACCCCTCCATGCAATTACACGAGTAGGATCCGTTTAAATTGATACACTCAGAATGATTTTGGCAAATGGTTGTGTTTACACATTCGTCTATATCGTTGCCACAGTGGGCACCATTCCATCCACTTCTACAAACACAGGATCCCGTCACTTTGTCACAAGATTCTGTGTTGTTGGGGTTACACAAACATTGCTCCTGACAATTCTTTCCATGAAAACCATCCTTGCATTCTAAGTTTAATTAATAACATTAATGTCTTTCAAAAATTGTTTTAAATTCAACAGACAAGAATGATTAACATTACAACTACATCATCTTGTAGTTAGGAAGAAAATGTATTGAATTGGCTTGGAATAGAGTTAATAAATTATTCGATTAATCATGAAATGTCTTACCCACACACATCATTTCAGCAAGTGTAAATCCATCCTTGCAAACACATGTGTAGGACCCGTCAGAATTGACACAGATTGAATGTTTGGGACAGATAGATGTATTTGAACACTCATTGATATCATCATTGCACTTGGAGCCGTTCCAACCCTGTTTACAATTACAAGAACCCGTCACCTTGTCACAAGAGGCCGTGTTGTTAAGGTTACATAAACACTGCATCTGGCAATTCCTACCATAACTTCCATTTTCACATTCTAAATTGATAAAATTAGTTCAGTTTCAAATCATTGCAAAACAGAGCTGATTCATTTCACTCAATATCAAACGATGTAATATTCTGCACATGGTTATCCCAAAGAATGTTTCGAGTTACTTTCAAATTTTGTGTAAATGCAAATGATCATTAGTAAAACGTTTTAACAAAGATAATAAGGAAAATAGTTTACCGATACAAAGTCCCCCCAGAAGGGTAAATCCATCCATGCATTCACACTTGTAGGAACCATTAGAATTGGAACATTCTGCATGTTCTGGACAGATCGAGGTATTTGAACATTCGTTAATGTCTTCATCACAATTTAAACCACCCCAACCTTCTCTACAGATGCATACACCGGTTTCTTTGACACATAATTCTGTAGTGTTTGAGTTACAAGAACACTGACTCGTGCAATTCAATCCAAAATATCCATGTTTACAATCTATTTGGGAAAAGACTTAGATTACACATAAATCTTATATAAAACTAAATTTGACAAATTCTAAATTTATTTTTGGTTCGGTGTAACTTAATATGCACTATTTTAACGCTCTTATGTAATGCCTTCGTCTAAATCTTTTGGGAAAGTGGTGTTAGGAAGTTTGCTCGCGTATATTTAAAAGACAGTCGTACACAATAAACTGCTGCACATTAGGTTCAACACTATACAATAATTTCCACCACTGTACAAGATTTTTTAAAATAAAAAATCCGATAGAGAGACAAATAATACAGAAAGGATGGAATGCAGTGGTTTTAGGAAAAGCAAAGGTTAAAAGTATCGCTCTAGACTCAAGGACTAAGCCAACAGTTGATTCATTATTTGTGAGTTAGAACGTGGAGACCGGTCCTTTTGGTGAGACGGTATAAATTGAGGGTTAGTTTTGCAGAAAGAGCTTTTACGAATAAGGTCTTGCTGCTCAAAGGTCTATACTATCAAGTATAACACAAAATCATTAAATGAGAACTCTTACCACTGCAGTATCCACCAACAAGTGTGAATCCCTCATTGCAATTGCACGAGTATGATCCATCAAAATTTTTACACTCAGAATGCACTGGACATATAGAGGCATTGGAACACTCATTTACATCCTCAATGCACTGGGACCCATTCCAACCTTCTTTACAAACACAGAAACCGGTCGATTTGTCACAAGATCTGGTGTTGTTTTGATTACATAGACACTGCATCTGGCAGTCCTTCCCATACAATCCATTTACACATTCTACAAGGATGAAGCATTGTAAGTAAGCTTATAATATCTTCATTAGCTATTCACGCTAAATTTCAATAGCTAGCTAAGTCATTGATTTCTATCAAAGAACCAGTTTCCTGAAAATTTCGATAGTTTTAAAAATAACTTCTCCTAAGGCTGGTCACAAAAAGTTTTGTTTCAGAGCAAGGTAAAACGATGGTTTACTTGGAAAAAAGGCACAATACTTTTGAGTAAAAACGTAAAGGAAAGTGTCATCAATATCAATTGGAAAGATGGAGGAAACACCATAGGTTCGAAGGAAATAAATTAACAGTGTTGAAAAAGATATTGTTTTCGGTCATCTTGATCAATTCTTTTCCTTTTTCTTGAGTGTAGTTCTCACAGATTTGGGGGTAAAGGGCTTTGACTCCTTTTAAATAGTTTCTTTCCTTTGTACGAAAAAAACAGTGAAACACTTACCAACACAGTGTCCATCGTTTAATGTAAATCCATCCATGCAATTACATGAGTAAGACCCATTTAAATTAATACACTCAGAATGATTCGAGCAAACTGATTCATTCAAACATTCGTCTATATCCCCATTGCACCGAGAGCCAGTCCATCCACTTCTACAGACACAGGCCCCCGTCACTTTGTCACAAGATTCTGTGTTGTTAGGGTTACATGAACACTGTTCTTTGCAATTCTTTCCATGAAACCCATCCATGCATTCTAAGTATAATTTATAACGGTAAAGTCAGTCGGAAAAGAGTTTCATTTAAATAGACAAGAAAGATTGACATTACAAGCAAATGACCCTGTTGCCAAGAAGAAAATATGGGTAGTTGATTGGAGTTCATAACAAATTATTCAATGATTCATGAAATGTCTTACCCACACACATCATTTCAGCCAGGGTAAATCCATCCTTGCAAACACACGTGTAGGACCCGTCAGAATTGACACAGATTGCATTTTCAGGACAGATAGATGTATTTGAACACTCATTGATATCATCATTGCACTGGGAGCCATTCCAACCCTGTGTACAATTACAAGAACCCGTCACCTTGTCACAAGAGGCCGTGTTGTTAAGGTTACATAAACACTGCATCTGGCAATTCCTACCATAACTTCCATTTTCACATTCTAAATTGAAAAATTAGTTCAGATTCATATCATTGCAAAACAGAGCCGATTCATTTCATTCAATATCAACTGATGTAATATTCTGCACATGGTATCTATCCCCAAAGAACTCATATTTAATTTTACTGCAAATGGCTATCAGTAAAACGTTTTTACGAATGATTGCGAGGAAAATCGTTTACCGATACAAAGTCCCTCTCGAAGAGAAAATCCATCCATGCATTCACACTTGAAGGAACCGATAGAGTTGGTACAGGCTGCATGTTCTGGACAGATCGAGGTGTTTGAACATTCGTTAATGTCTTCATCACAGTTTAATCCACCCCAACCTCCTCTACAGATGCATTCACCGTTCTCTTTTACGCACACCTCTGTTGTGTTTGGGTTACAGGAACACTGACTCATGCAATTCATCCCAAAATATCCATGTTTACATTCTATTTTGAATAAATAAAAGTCTTTCAGAAGAATTGGATGACACATACAATGATGATAATGGAAGAAAAAAAGTGAAACGCTTACCAACACAATTTTCACCAACAAGTGTAAATCCCTCAATGCAATTACATGAGTAGGACCCGTTTAAGTTGATACACTCAGAATAATTCGAGCAAATCGATTTGTTAACACATTCGTCTATATCGTCGTTGCACCGTGGCCCACTCCATCCACTTCTACAAACACAGGCCCCCGTCACTTTGTCACAAGATTCTGTGTTGTTGGGGTTACACAAACATTGCTCCTGACAATTCTTTCCATGAAAACCATCCTTGCATTCTAAGTTTAATCAATAACATTAATGTTAGATGGAAAATAGTTTTATTTTCAATCGAATAAAATTGACATTAGAAGCACATAACAGTGTTGTCCAGAAGAAAATACAAGGAATTTGATTTCAGTTCTAACAAATAATTCAATAATTCATAAAATATCTTACCCACACACATCATTTCAGCAAGTGTAAATCCATCCTTGCAAACACATGTGTAGGACCCGTCAGAATTGACACAGATTGAATGTTTGGGACAGATAGATGTATTTGAACACTCATTGATATCATCATTGCACTGGGAACCGCTCCATCCCTGTGTACAATTACAAGAACCCGTCACCTTGTCACAAGAGGCCGAGTTGTTAAGGTTACATAAACACTGCATCTGGCAATTCCTACCATAACTTCCATTTTCACATTCTAAATTGATAAAATTAATTTAGATTCATATCATTGCAAAACTGATGTAATATTCTGCACATGTTATCTATCCCCAAAAGAACCCAAATTTGATTTTACTGCAAATGGTTATCAGTAAAACGTTTTTACCAATAATTGCAAGGAAAATCGTTTACCGATACAAAGTCCCTCTCGAAGAGAAAATCCATCCATGCATTCACACTTGAAGGAACCATTAGAGTTGGTACACTCCGCATGTTCTGGACAGATCGAGGTATTTGAACATTCGTTAATGTCTTCATCACAGTTTAAGCCACCCCAACCTTCTCTACAGATGCATTCACCGTTCTCTTTTACACACACCTCTATTGTGTTTGGGTTACAGGAACACTGACTCATGCAATTCATCCCAAAATATCCATGTTTACATTCTATTTTGAAAAAAAAAATATTTTAGAAGAATTGTATGACACGTAAAATAATGATCAAGAAAAAAAACAGTGAGACACTTACCAACACATTGTCCATCGTTAAGTGTAAATCCCTCCATGCAATTACATGAGTAGGACCCATCTAAATTGATACACTCAGAATGATTCGAGCAAACAGATTTGTTTTGACATTCATCTATATCGTCGTTGCACCGAGGCCCACTCCATCCACTTCTACAGACACAGGTTCCTGTCACTTTGTCACAAGATTCTGTATTGTTGGGGTTACACAAACATTGTTCCTGACAATTTTTTCCATGAAAACCATCGTTGCATTCTAAGTTTAATTAATAACATTAATGTCAGTCGGAAAAGAGTTGCATTTCAATAGAAAAGAAACATTAATTTTAGACGCAAATGACAGTATTGTTCAGAAGAAAATACAGAGAATTTGATTTGACTTCATAACAAATACTGTATGTGTACAAAAATTAACGTATTCAAAATTTAATACAATCACCAAGTATAGAGTTGTTGGTGTAGTCATAATTTAGTGCTACACATGATTCATTTTTGTGAGTTAGAATGGGGAGACTGGTCCTTTTCGTGTATAAATTGAGGATTAGTTTTGCAGATGTAGCTCACACGAAGAAGATTCCTTGCTGCTCAATGGTCTATACTATCGAGTATAAAACAGAATCAATAAATGAGAACTCTTACCACTGCAGTATCCACCAACAAGTGTGAATCCCTCATTGCAATTGCAAGAGTATGATCCATCAAAATTTCTACACTCAGAATGCTCTGGACATATAGAGGCATTGGTACACTCATTCACATCCTCAATGCATTGGGGCCCATTCCAACCTTCTTTACAAACACAGAAACCTGTCACTTTGTCACAAGATTCGGTGTTGTTGTGATTACACAGACACTGCATCTGGCAATCCTTCCCATAATATCCACTCAGACACTCTTATTTAGAAAAATAGTAAAAAGGCAAATTATTTTATGGATTTTTGAAATAATTGTTTTTCAGAATTATAAGCATATTATATGATGCAAGATTACTGCTTTAAAATAAATAATATAGAAAGCCCCCCCCCTCCCGAGATTAAGTAGCTTACTTTTTCTCACATTCTTGACAATTTGGTTCCCCTTCCTACTTCAAATTGATAAAGTTTGCTAAAATTGTGTTTTCATTATAGCTCTCATTCTATTATCCAAAAATTAGCACACTTATTAGGTTTTATGAATACAATATACTATATTTCTGTGGACTGTCAGTAACAAACTTAACAAGTAATTTGGGTATACAGTTTTTTTCTACTTAATTTGATTTTTGTCTATGGAACAAGATAAAGATAACAAAAAATGAAACGATTTCAGAAAAAAAAATGACGAATATAGTCAAAAATATGTAAAGGATGTTTCATAAAGTTGATCTCAAAGAGAAATTAAATTTTCACTCGGACATATTTCTTACCTAAGCAACCGTTAGTTGAATTGTGAAATCCTTCTTCACAATCACATCTATAAGACCCAACGGTGTTCATACAGACTTCATGTTCTCCTTGACACAGCTGATCAGTGTCATTACATTCATTGATATCCTGATCACATGACTCCCCCGTCCAACCAGACGCACAGACACAACCACTTATATGGTCACATCTCTCGGAACCCCGCCCACATTGACATTCTTGTAAGCAATTCTCACCAAACAATCCCTCTATACACACTAGACGAAAAAAGAGGCTTCAAGAAAATGTTTTTAGCGCTGCTGAACTGCAGTAGGTTTCACAAACATGTAAAACCTAATGAAGTTTTGCTGATGCAATTGTCATTGGGTTAAGTACTGATAATTTTGGTCACAATAGGGAAAAATGGGATAAATAAATTTTAAATATTTTTGTAATTTATTTCAATATCAGAATATTGGTTTTATTAATGAAAAGTAAACATAAAAATATCGTTCATTCTCACATAACTTACATGCATATAAGGAAAAGCATTATGATTTTTTTTATGAAAGACTAGGACACTTTACAGTTTACCCATGCATATATATATTATGCTGATTATCTGCAAGTCACCATTTATATCATAATAAAATAATTTAGAAAATTTTCAGATTTCTTTATTAAGAAGAACATACTAAAAATACCTTCACATGTTTTTCCATCATTTTGCAAGGTATATCCTATCCTACATGCACATTCAAATGAACCATCTTTATTTGTGCAATTTTGCTCACATGTATGGGCTAGGCTACACTCGTCAATATCTTAAATATAAATATAGCATATTTGATAAAGTAAACAATATGAAAATATTAATAAATGTGAAAAAAGTATACTGTCATAAAAGTACCTTTGCAAGTTCTATTGTCAAGATTAAGTTCGTATCCTGATTCACAAAAGCAGTATCCTTGAACTTTATTTGATGAATCGTGGTCGGTAAGGCATCCATAACTACAGTTCAGTTCCGGAAATAAATCACACACGTCAGACACTAAAAGAAGAGCTAAGCACTGAAAATATCTAATAAGGAAAAACAGTGGAACAGGTGGAGAGAAAATACCCTGGACAAGTCTGGGATTAGAACCTAGGTATATTGAATTTCAAGTCAGGTGTTCTACAAACTGAAAAATGTGGCCATTGGTGATCGTACCCGTCTAATCACCACAATAGTAAAAGACTTATAAATCCGGAATATACCAATAGGCCTTGGCATTTCCGTGATTACAATTTTTTGTCTCCGCCCTATATAGGAAAGAAATCGTGATGCATGTGATATTAAATTGTATAAACAACAATGCAGTGCAGTGCTTGTGTCCTTGATATTCAGTAAAAGAAGTTGGATCTTTAAAGAAAACATAATGTTAACGATGTATATAACAGAATCAGTATATTGATAATGATTAAGAACATAAACTCATTAAAATATTGAAATTAAAAACTGAAGGCGGAGCAAATACTATGAACACATGTGAGATTAAGTTCCTAGGAGAAGTCAAAGATCTCTATAATTTATTGAACTCACACTCTTATATGTCACTGATAACCACTATATTTTTCTTTAATTTCTTGAAAGAAATATCATCAATTGGAACAAAAATACCTTTTTCACAATTCCTTCTATCATTGTGTAGTGCAAAACCAAATTCACATTCGCAATTATAACCACCATTTGTGTTGATGCAGATTTGGGAACAACCATGGATATTCTGGGTACATTCATCAACATCTGAAAAGAGTAATTACTTGTTCTTAAAATGTTAACTAATAAGGAAAGGGTTCTGATAAGTGTATTTGGAAAAGATACTTTTTTTCTTTTCTTTTTTGGGTGGGTGGGGGTGGGGGTGGGGGGAGATGATTGTAAATGCTATCATGTTGTTTTTCATATTATCAAAGGCTTTTGATTAGTTGGAGCAATGGCTTTCATATTTATCATGCGTATTTCTAGTGAAAAGTCATCTCCATTGGTACACTATCTTTAGCTCTTGATTTTGATTTTGAAGTTTGGTCACCTTTAACCACATTTTAGCCTTGGTCATTGCTTTTGACCGTTTGGTATAAGGACGTTCATGCTTGTCATGTGTATTTCAAGTGACAGGATCTTTAACTGGGTAAAACAATTTTGGCCCTTTAATCTTGACCTTAGAGTTTGGTCTAGCTTTTATCTAATACAAAAACCTTTGATTGGTTGGAACTATGGAGTTCATGTTTAACAGATAATGGGAGATTTTTGGTGATTCTTTCCTTGAACATCATTAATATTGTCAATGACATTAATCTTGGAAATTGACCTACTTTTCAAAAATGTAAATCTTTGCCTTAACTATATGACACTTGATACTATGATTTTACTTTATAATTCAGAGGTGTATTGTTTCTTTTAGGTACCAGCATTTTTAATGCCTAGACGTTGACATTATAGATTGATTTGAATTAAGAAAATCCTTTCCCACGGGCTGGTATACGGGGGAATCAGTGTTTCACAATTGCATATTGTTGAATTTGTTTTTAATGAATTATTTTCATTATATTGCTTGGACGGAATATTTTTATCTCATATCATTCTCCTTATATCTTAACTATGTGTTATTTGAAGAAGAAAAACTTCAGAAAAATAATATCATTTGATAATTCATTTATGTTGTTTACGTCAAACAACATGTCAAAAAACAATTCTCGTATAAATTTATCCTATCACTATTATTTTGCGTTTACTCAGCCAAGTTTAGAAAATTATGAGAATACAAATATTTGTGTCTGTTCTCGTTTAGGATGAATATATTTTGGCAAATTTACCATTTTGCAGAAGGAGAGAGAAAGAGAGAGAAATACCTTCGCATATAGAATTGTTTCTTTGATATCCTTTCCTACAGAAGCAGGAATAATTTCCATGTAAGTTTTTACAAATTGTGTTTTCTGGACAATCATTTAAACTCAAATCCGAACACTCGTCTATATCTGAAAAATGCAGAGATGTATTTCATTTCTTTTCAAATTGAAGATTCAAATAAAAGATTTAATTTGAGAAAAATAGGAAGCAGTTAACTTTCGATCAATTACGGTGTACTAGATACCTTGACAATGATTGTTATCATCGTAAAACCCTTCCTTACAGGTACACAAGAAAGAACCCTGTAGGTTTTTACAAACTTTATCTGATCCACATATATCTTGGTCCGTTTCACACTCGTCAATATCATCACTGCAAAATTTTCCTGTCCATCCAGACTGACAAACACACCCACTAACCGGATCACATTTATCCATACCTTCCCCACACCGACATATTTGGCTACAATTCTCTCCGTAATTCGGTGCAGCACATTCTATGAACACAATAACTTTGATTATTCATTACATCAGAGAATGAAGCTGTTAGCTTTTTAATCCGAACATTGTTTTTTACCTGTGCATGAAATTTTATCGTCATTTAAAGAATATCCTGGTCGACAGTAGCACTGAAATGATCCATTCCTGTTGTTACACTCCTGGTGGCAGGGAGACAAATGCTTCTCACATTCATCAATATCTGTTATAAATAGACACTTCTTCATACATTTTGATGGAATCTAATTAAAAAAATTGTTTGATTCACCTTTAAATATATTGGGAAAAATTATTAAAAATCTTACCTATACAACTATGTCCATCGTCATGAAGCCGAAAACCTATCGGACATATACATTTCCCGGTAGTAGAGTTGCAAGTGAACTCACAGTTTATATCCAAATCTTTGCATGGATCTTCATCTGTATAACCAAATCGTATTTCAAATTACATTGACAGTGCTTCGTAGCTAGAAGAGCATCAAAGATTAAATGACACTTCGAGAAATCAATAATTATAAAATCTATTTAATCGCTCTTTAATTTTTCATTTTTTAACAATTTAAAACAATCATACAAGACTTGTAACATACCTGTATGAATACATGTAGAGTTGTCTGTATTTAGAGCAAAACCCGAAAAGCATCCGCAAAGAAATGATCCAGGAGTATTTTGACAAGTTTGTTCACATCCAGAAGTTCTCTCCAAGCACTCGTCAATATCTAATTTTTTAAGTAAAAACAAAGATACTATTAATGAATATTGAACATGTGTTCATTCTGTAAAAGGTAAAAGATATATTTAAAAAACTGAATTGATAAAACACAATGCCCCAGATTTAGGGAAACAAGAAGGGGATATCCTTTCTACCAATTTTGATCTTTTACTCTTTCTTATTTATATTACTCATAAGTATAAACTGGAAAACAAACATTTTGATTTTTGTCAAAGACAGAAATCCCATTTTAATATAAGTACACGAAAGTATATTACCTCTACAAGTGTTATTTTCTTTTCTATATCCTTTAATACAGTTACATAAGAAACTACCCTCAGTGTTTTCACAGGTTTCTGTTGTTGGACTACACACATCTGAGTTATCCTTTCCACATTCATTGATATCTTGACAAATCGAAATAGGAAAAAAAATATATTATTTAGTTGCTAAACTAATTTTTCACAATGTTTGGTATATCATATATTGTGTTTTCCCCTGTTTTTGCTAGCTTCCACCTTCGCATTCATTGTTGATGTCTTTAAACCCTGCAGGACATTCTGAGCAGTTGTATCCTCGTCCAAGTCTCTGCTCCTCTTCAGGGGTCAGGTCAGTACATTCTCGTCCCAAAGAGCACGGACCGTAAAGACAGCCGTCTGTATCCAACTCACATCTATCTCCTAAAATTATCAAAATCAGTCAGTTTTCTGTCAAAAAGTATGTTGAAAATATAATAATTATTCATCCCTTACCAGAAAATCCTATTTTGCAAATACATTTTGCATGATTAAAACGAACGTTATCTGTCAGCAAAGTATTCACAAAATCACAACGGCCCTGATTTTCGCAGCCACCACATAAAACAATGGTAACATCTATAGATGGTGACTCTGCATTCATTTCATCTACCACACTTATGCTACAAAGGAAAATATTACTCTATTATATTTCAGATTCAGTGAAAGTTGACGGGTTTTGAGAGGGATTTTGCTATGCTTGCATACCTTATTTCCGATGTGTTTGTATCTTGCGGTGTCCATGTTGCTAATCCACTGGTTGTATTCAGGGTAAAATTGCTGGGGTGTTTCAGTGAATTATACTTTGGGGCTTGACTGCCGTCATCGGTAGCATTAAACCACAATTCAACGACCTTGCCAACTTCAGCGTTAATAGATGTGTTTCCTGATATGCTAGGGCTTTCGTTGTCTTAAATAATAGATTTAAGTTTTATATAGTATAGCAATATAAAACATATGTAAATAATAAAAATAATATATAGTAAAGCAATATAAAACATATGTATACTATAGAAATAATATTGACATTATAGAACCATGCCAATTTGCCATTTTAGTTTCAAGCATCATTTTCATTGTTTGTCCATGTATTACAAAAAGGAATACTACTTACCAATGAGCTTGGCATCAGAGAGTGAAACCGTTTCCTCTGTTCCAGATGATTCGGCAAGTGTTATATCTCCTGTTGCCAAGTAATCAAATACACACGCCTGGGACGGATTTTTTCCACATTTTCTGTTGGCATCTTCTAATTTCTGTTCATCTATCTCGTCCAAAAATATTGGTTCGAATTCAGGATGAGTATAATTTTTGAATGTTAATCCCTTACTGTAGTGGAAGGTGGAGTTTTCATTCACAAGCCCTGAAAATGAAAACAAAAAATATTACTGAATGTTACTGGACATGTAATCAGAGGATTTGAAGGTTCTACAAAATGCATAAAATTCATTTGAAAATTAATTTCAGTTATTGTAACGTATCAACAGGGAAGTACAATGGGAAGGACGTATAAGAAAATTTGAGGATATATACTGACAAAAGAAGCGCAACAAGCAGTAATCTACAAATGTTTGATTTTTTTATCTTATGATTTTCAAAAATGAATACAGTAAGGCTAAACTCACATTTCAGAACATCAGAGATTTGATAAAAATGTTAAATGTTTATCTTTTTACTTTACTAAGTAACATATGACTGTTAATACACCCCCCCCCTCCCAGCCATTCAAGTAAAACGTTCAAGACTGCCCTAAACAACAATTGCAGCTTAATTTCTACGATGCAATAGATTCATCAATATCGAGATCTGCGCGAAAGAATTATTCTTTGACATTTTTAAATGCCCGTTTTTCAGATGATTAGGTCGAATTTTCTCTAACTTAGAGCAGTGTAGCCATTCTTGGACTTCCGGTATAAGGACTGTCCTTAATGAATATGATACGTAATACCCTGGTTTGTCTTAATGTTGTGAATTTTTGCATCAGCAACTCTTCATCACCTTTACATTGAAATTTTCCAGCTAGAGCAATAGAAATGCGTACTTAAGCCATTTTCAAGAAGCCTTAGCATCGTTACGAGAAACGAAATGAGGGTTTATTTTTTGAAATATTGCTGCATTACTTATGATGAACAGTAAAAACCCTTAAAACCCCATATCATTGCCAAATGTTTTGTTAAACATGCAATTTTTGATTTCTGTTAAGCAGAACCAAACTTGACTTCCGGTTATGGTATGAAAATCGTTCAACCATTAAATTACCGATGTTTACCAAATTGAAGATATCCATAATTTTCAGATACATTTTTTTTACTTTACACAATTATTTCCCCCTAAAATAGGATGTTGCGTTTTTTTTGCGTGTCAGTATATAATAAACTTACAAAGTTGTCCGAAATTGTAGTAAATATCCCGTTCTGTTGTGGTTGCATTGTCATCCAGAGTAGTTCCATTTGGTAGGATAAAGTCATTGTTGATAATCCCGTCAAAATTACCCATCAACCCTTTCAAAAGTCCCTTATATTTATTGTCAACAACTGTTTCCGAAATTAAAAATCGTACTCCCAAACTGAATTTCAATAAAATAGCTGAAAAAGACACAGATGGATATCAATGATACCATGTATATGTTTAATTGCTTTGACAAATTGGGATTTCTTTGATAATTTAATTTTACTATGCTTAAATTAACTTGATGATAGAGTAGATCAAAATAGAAACATTCGACTAAACAATATCTTGCATTTGCTAACATAATCTATGTATCGACTATATAATTTGCGTATTGTTGATATTTAACTGGACTGTTGATATCCTTGTATGATCAACTAAAACGTCCATAGTTTGTTTTATATTAGAATTAGTTATTTTAACAACATCCACTTGCACATCAAAACAACAGGGAGATATATTCTCAATTTGCAGTTTATAGGTATTTTTATCCAAATAAATAAAAAAAACTGCATGATGGAAGAAGGATATGGAGATAACGAACAGTATTTAAATTAAAGTTCATAAATCAATGCAAAATAGGAGCAGAGCAAACACGGACCTCTAAAACATCAGAGGTTAGGATCAAGTGACATGGAGGGGTAAACATCCCCTGCTGACAGGTCACATCCGCCGTTTGCTCCTTGTCATGCTAACTGACGTTTTTCTTACTTATTGTTATTGTTAGTCCATTATTTATATACTGAATTAACGACGGATTTTTCCGTCATTTCCTGATCATGACAAGGAGCACACGTCGGGTGTGACCTCAGATGTTTCAGAGGTCTGTGTTTGCTCTGCCCCTATTTCGTATTGTTTAATGGACTTTGATATTGAATACTGTTTGTTATCTCCATATCCTTCATTTTAAGAATAAAAGTTAAAAAAAAACTTAAATATCCTGTACTCACATGACTTTAGAAATGATGCTGATATGCTTTGGTTTTCCCAGCGAAGAGACAAATTTTGCGTCAGATAATAGTATTCTGCATCTTCAAATTCTCTTGTCATGTCATTTTCGTTAACCCTAATTATCATTTCTGTGTAGAAAAAAGATCAGACTGAATACTTGATTCCAAATTTTTCATAATTGACCTTCATGTGTTAAAAATTATCAAAACCTTAGAAATCTCTCATTAACAAATGCTTAAAATCTTTTTGCATAAAGATATGCTGTCCTATTAATCAAATTATTTCTTCTGTAAATCTTGTGAAAGTAAATAAGTAATACAAAATCTATTTCATCTCAATATCTGCATTTACTACCCTATAGATGGATAGTAAATTTGTTTTAAATTGTGGAAATAATTTTGAGATCGATATATGTACATGAATATACTTTCCATTGACTTATTTAAAATCAATTGCATGTGATATATCTTTTCTGATTACTTTTTTTGTCTCGAGTCATCTCTATTTGGACTTTTGAACCAGTTTGATCCTGGGCCACAAATGCGCTGAATACAGTGGCATTGATGGTGGATCCGTTTGCTGTTGTAGCCAGTTCTGTTCTTGCCTGTAAGTCGAACGTCGTATTTTCTGTATCTATTTTCAGCATTGTGTATTCTCCCAATCCATTGAATGTGTAGTTTTTCCCATCAAGTGTCAAAATGTGTGGATCACCAAAATTCACACCTGAAAAGAAAAGTGGAGTATGTGGAGATAACGAGCAAAATTCAGTGTGAAAATACTGGACTAACAATTACTATAGTAGTTTGAAAAACGTCAGTCAGCATTAGACTTAATGATAAATTGTATTTGCTAAAAATGTTATTGTATTTGTCATTGACATTAAACGAGACTGTTGATATCGAATTAACAGGGCGAAATAACCTCATATGCATTAAGGTAAGTCACTCCTCAAGTTTGTTATATCAAGGATTTTTTGAGAAGTATATTTTGGATAAGTACTAATAAAGTGTAACTCAAAATCGCAAAGAAAATAGGGGGTCAGTGTGCATCCTACTGATCTACGGTACATTTAAGTTGACCTTTTTGCACTTAAATTTCATCTCTTTGGTTAATTACTTTAACCCTTATTATATTTGATTAGATGTAAGCATGGCAATAAATATAATCTTATTTTACGTAAAATAGTTTGAATAATATTTAACATTAAATAAATCTTGCAAATTAATGCGCGTAAATTATTGTTTGACCTTTTTGCACTAAAAAATAACATATTTGGGGTATTAAAAAACTTAATAGGCAATAAAAAATTTTCTTATATCAAACTTTTTACGACTTGAGTGCTGATCAGTCACAAGTATCGAGTAGTTTAAAATAATGAAAGAAAAAGGTGGGGTCAGTGATGTTAATTTTGAAATATTTGTCAAAATATGTGATTTTCAGGCTAAAAATGGTGTAAATTTGACCTTGACTTCTTTCATATATTTTCATTTTTTGGGAAAGTTTGTTGAGGGAAGGTGTAAAACTTAGTCTAAAAATATAAATTAAGACCTATATTAAATATTTTTAGCAATATCAAAACGGAAAATATTCTCCAAGTAAAAGTATGTGAGGCTAAATTTCCATTACATTAAATTTTATAAATGTGCAGATTTGCAGAATTTTCTGCTACATATCCTTCCACCAAAAGAAATAGTCCCTCATAAATCTTGCTTCTTTGTTGATTTTTGAGCAGTTTTTTCATTGAATGTTAAAAAATTGACATTGTTGAATATAAATATGTTATAAAAATTGAATTTTGATAAGTAGTTTTGAAGTAAAAGCTTCTGCGTGAACTTTTCTAAAAAGCTGAGGAGTGACTTACCTTAATGTATATTTCATAGTAACATTTGAAATGTTTTGTCTGTTGAATGTCCAGGAAATAAAATTACCATGTTCAAAAACGTGCCCTTCCTTAATTCCAGGCACAGAGGACATGACTTTAATTTATTTTATAAAAATGAACATATAATTTGATATTTTATTTAATTTTAATTCCTGACTAACCAATATCCATCATTTACTTATAAATGAGTCATGAGTGTCAAAGTTTTGTAAATGGCTTACTGCACAATATTATCATGCAAGTATTAATTTTTTTCAACTGTGACTGTATTCCTTTGATAGCTAGAGTTCTAAATTGTCAGATCCTGGAGGAGCAGAGGTCATCTCATGCACCCTTTTCTACATAAATGTATTTTGTTAAAATTGCATGAAAGAAGGATATGGAGTTAAAGAACAGTATTCAATCTCAACGTCCATTAAACAATATACAAAATAAGAGCAGAGCAAACACAGACCTTCGAAACATCAGAGGTGGGATTAGGTGCCATGGAGGAGTGAGCTTCCCCTGCTGACCGGTCACACCCGCCGTGTGCTCCTTGTCATGATCAGGAAATAACGGAAAAAATCCGTCGTCAATTCAGTGTATAAATAATGGACTAACAAATGGTATGAAAAACGTCAGTCAGCATTTGACTCAATGATAAATTGTATTTGCTGACAAGGTTATTGTATCGACCATAGAACTTACGAAATGATGACTTTAAACGAGACTGTTGATATTCTTGTTTCATCAACTTGCTTGTCAATAATTTACCTTGTTTAAGAAATTGTTCATACGTAGAGCATGCTCTTGTACCGAATTAACTGAGATATATATACTCCGTATGCAGGTGATGAAGGGAAGTTGACGATAGAAAAGTTAAAGTCTTCACGTTTATCATATAGCTTGGTTGTTAGATTACCATTAGTGTCTTTTTCAAGTAAAATATCCAAGTATGAAGCAGAAGTGTCGGACTCTGTGGTATCTTTTATCTCAAGCTCACCAGGAAACATCGTATCGACGTGGGAATGGAAATTATCATTATTAATTGACAATACGTCGTCGATATATCTAAATGTCGAGTTGAAGGCCACAGCAAGCGTTTTCTTCTTTTCACGCATAAGATTTTGCATAAATTCTGCTTCATATGAATATAAAAATAAGTCTGCTAATAACGGAGCGCAATTTGATGCAATTTGAAACTGTTTCAGGCAGTGCCAAAAAAAAAGAAAAGTTACAATTGACTTTGCAAGCCTTTTCGCAGCGACATTTTACAGCGGTTATCAACAGAATGCATTCTTAGTTGATGACTTAGTTACCCTTGTTCAGAGAAAAATATGCTCTAATTATATTTTTAAATAATATTACCATTTTGAAAAGGTGATCTTGTATAACAGCGTGGAATCGGACGGATTTCGTAATACCACTGACAGTGCCCAGAGGTACAGCAGGCCTCTTTCTGTTTCAGATCATTTTTTATGTAGAGTTTTCTTTCAAAGAACGGATTATACTCTAAGAATGTTCCAGCCGAAGGCAAAAACTGTTCAAGGGTACTCAAATTGTTGATTGACCCATGCATTCTGTAGCAACATTCCTGAAAGAATAAATATACCAATACATGTATTGGTAAAGATATGATTTATGTGATTCGCGTCCATTTGTATTTCCCGTTCCAGCACTTTTCATTCAAACGTAATGACACATGAAAAGGTTGCAAAAACAATGTTGGTATTTTTTTTTGGGGGGGGGGGGGGGGGAAATTATGATTTTTAAAAAGTATTCAAATCTATCCATATTTTCTTATTTCATAGCAACTTGCCTATAAGAGCAAGATACTTATTTTAAAAGTGAGAACAATGTTTCAATCTTATTTGCGATATGTTCACACACATAATACTACTCACCGCATTTATTCCAGTTGTCATGGATGCGTAACATAGGACTCGGTTCTTCCTGTCAAATCTATTCATGGCATACCGCGGATCAAATCTTAAAAGACGACTATCACACGGACATTCAATTTGATTTCTAATGGCTAACAAATTATATAAAACGCCTTTGTCTATACTGTTTTGGTACCAATCGTAACATAGTTTTTCGTCTGAGTTTCTTGGTATACCAGTTGTCATCTTATAAATCCAAAAGCCAGGCACTCCTAAAATGTCAAGATAATGAACATACTATTAAATAATATAACAAAAATCTATAAACAACAAGATGTGTTTGTGAAAAACTGATTCGTATGCTTGATTTATTTATTGATTGTAAATTGTTTAACGTCCCTCTCGAGAATGTTTCACTCATATGAAGACGTCATCGGCTTCAAATTTAGACCTATACTGGGCACTCAGGGCCATTGAGCAGTGAGGGTTCTTTATCGTGCCAGCGCCTACCGTGACACGGGACCTAGGTCATATCCAAAAGACCCGTGACTTTCACTACTAGTACCGAACCGAGCGCTTGGCGAAGGAACAGTCACTACCTATGTTTACTTCTTAGGTATGACGCGGCGCCACAAACGAGAATCGAACCCGGGCCTCCCTATCACTACGCGAACGCTCTACCACTAGGCCACCGTGACCGGTGATGCCCCCGTATGGCAATATAGCAAAGATTAAAATTTTCTTAAATGCAAATTTAATTAATTGGTACCAAAAGTAGGGTATTCTCACTGAAAAACAATTGTGAAATTTGAAAGTAGGCCAATGTTAAAGTTTTTTCAATAAGTACAAAAATCTGCAAGGTCAAGGTCAAAAAGTCATGGTAATATGTAATCAATGAAATATCTTGTCACATAGAGTACTTATGTAGAGTATGGAAGCCCTAGCCCTAACCATTCAGACGTAATGGCCAAGCTTATTTTTTTTCAAAAAGTAGTTCAAACTCCTAGGTTAAAGGGTCAATGTTCTTGTTATCAAATGAAAGGTCTTGTCACAAGGATTAAATATGTAAATTATGAAAACACTAGCCTTTACCCTTAAAAAGTTATGTCAAGGTTTGCTTTTTTTAAAGTAGGTCAAACTCAAAGGTCAAGGTCAAAGGGTCAAAGTTCTTGGTATCCAATGAAGGGTCTTTTCACAAGAAATACATATATGAAATATGATAGCACTATCCCTTATTGTTCAAAGGTTATGGCAAGATTAAAGTTTTTTCATAAGTACGGAAATTTTCAAGGTCAAAGGGTCAAGATTGTTGGTATCTAATGAAAGATCTTTCAACAAGTAAAACATATTTGAAGTATAAATGTCCTGGTATTTATTGTTTGTTATCATATACAGCTTAATGCACTTTTTAAACTCACATGGTTTTCCGCACAAATTAAAGTCACATTTTTCTTGCAATAAAGCTAAAAGTTATCGAGTTTCAATAAGAGACATAATCCTTATAGTATTAAATTGTTTCATGTTAAAGGTGCACTTCTCTAAAATCAGTATCTTAAGTTTTAAAAGTCAATGTTCTAAAAGGAAATTTGTTTATAAATTGTATGCTGTTAAATGTGTATGATTCTATCATAGGTTTTATAAATTAATTAGTGGACGTTTCTTTGATACTATTTGGTTAAAATGTTCAAATTTACTTCTTAAAGATGATTATTTTTCGAGGTACTTTGCACATTTTCCATACTTGTCTTGGTTTTGTCGAAATTCGGAGCCGAAAAATGACAAAACAGCATAAAGAAATCTTGTTAAAGGATAGGATAATAAAGTATTGTTTCTCTTTCAACAAAGTTAATTGTAAATATCGAAAAGAAAATTTTTTAACGTATAGTCTGACACTTTGAAATTATGCGTTGGAAGGTGTCTTTCATGATGCTAGATTTCAGGAAGTTAACCTGAAAAAATGCCATCTTTTTAAGATGGAAAGCATTCGAACAGATGAGAAATACTTCTATTATCTTGCGCTCCAGTGTTATATTAATATTCAGAAAATACAGAAGTTACATCAATTGGACTGTTTCTGTATTAAGGCAAGGCAAAAGTATGCTTTAAAATGAACGGATAAAAAAACGGTTGCATTTGACGAGAAACAATGAAAAAAAACATTGGAAACTCTCATATTATATCATCCAAGAGCATATAAATATCCTACCAATTATTATGTGTGAATTATGTTTTAAGTAATGGGATATGATCAAAATTAAGTTATAAATCATTTTTAAAATACATTTTGTCGTCACATTACAAATTTTTTGCATTATAACAATGTGACCTTAATTTGTGCGAAAAACCATGTGAGTTTAAAAAGTTTGTTGAGCTGTATATATAAATCATAAAAATGACGAACAATTATCGAGCTCGAGTCCATTGGAAAAAATAATTGGGAACAGGCAAACATGGATTTGGCACATAGGCACAGGGAATTCTTACTCCAAATAGATATCTAGATTTGCTGCTAACAATTGTTAGATATGCTTAAGTAAGATCGATCACTGTTCATTTTCTTCTACTTATCATCAATCGACCTGAAATTTTTAATTTCTAGGCCATTAATATAAACAGACATATTAAAAAAATCAACTCATTTTTACCAGCATAGCAAAGAAAGACAGCCAGGAATTCTATGACTCGATGACAGACGGAGAGAGATAACACGATATGCCACGACCATTTCAATACGAGGGAAAAAACTTGATTCTTTAAAGATCGGAATATTTAATTACAAAGGAAATATCACCCAATCTTACCTTAGGAGTTTTACGTTAAGATATTTACATGTATACGGGACGGATTATCAAATTATTTGTTTAAATTCGTAATATTAACAAGTGTTCCTTAAATCAGCAATATTCAACAATGAATGTAAGACATTATACACGGAATTAATTTGTTGACTGAAGCCTATCAATATCTAACTCAAAATACATTACATTTCCAAAATGCGGCTACTTTTACTGTTTACATGTACCTCTGTTTCCAGGATGATTACTCATTTGGAAAGCCTGTTGTGTGTTTGAAAACGGCACGATTACAGAGGACCTGTTATACTGATATCCAATGGTAATGTTCTTCCCCGGGATTGACGTAAGATTCACATCTATATAATTAAAGACTGTGAAAGTGTTTCGACCATCAGTTATAAGAAGGCACTGGAAAGTCACCATCTAAACGAGAACATTTGAAGTAATGAAAAATACTCATAAATTAGTGCAAAATATGGCCTAAACAGCAGAACAAAAATGAATGAAATGGAATATATGAAAATAAGGAACAGTATTCAAGCTCAAAAGTCCACTAAAGAAATCAAAATAGGGGCAGAAAATACAGAGCTCCAAAACATCAGAGGTGGAATCAGGTACCATGGGGGAGTGAGCATCCCCTGTCGACCATGACACCCTTGTTCACACACCTTTGTTTCTTCTTTATATGATTACACAAATAGGTCTCCTAATAACGGGGCATAATTGGTACCTATGAAAATTCATATACACTGTTGGAAAACCTTGTCTCCGAAAACCATAGAGATATTGTCAATCAGACTCTCAAACATCTTTTTTAATATCACATTCAGCGTAATTGTGTGTAAAATAAGAATTTTTTTAACAAAATAATTTTGCAAATGACCATTGAAAATGTAAGTTCATTTGCGAGTTCCAGTTTTATTAAAAAAACAGCTGTCAATGACATTAAAACACCTTGACTTTAATTTATCATTTAGAATGGTTGCTTTTAAAGTTGAAAATGTCGAATACATTGTTGTGCAGTACTCCTGACGTTTCTCCTTCACTACTATTAATATTTTAGTGAAGAGTAAAGAAATAGGCCCGGTAGAACATTTAATGGAACCTGCTATGTATTTCTGTTTGTGAGGATTTTGATGAACTTTCGGAATCCATATAAATATGGTAGTTCAAACTCAATTTGGTTGTTTCGAACATTAAAGATATTTCAAACTAACATATGATTTTGAAGAATTTCTTCCTTAGAAAGGAAGCTATAAGCACGAGGGCTATTCATTAAATAGTGACACTACACGTACTCCTTTTATATTTTACATTTAATTGAAATGGAACTTCTCTTATAATGTTTATTGTCTTCCATACTTCTGATTTGAAATATAGTCATAACCAATTTATAAAGCGATTTTCAAGAGAGCATCTTGTATGGACCCACCCTGTGGACACTGTTGATATGAAGATAGATTAATTGATTGATTGTATATTGTTTAACGTCCCTCTCGAGAATTTGTCATATGGAGACGTCACCATATGACGGTGAAGGGCTTCAAATTTTGACCTTTACTCGGCACTCGAGCAGTGAGGGATCTTTATCGTGCAAACGCCTGCCACTGACACGGGGCCTCGGTTTTTAAGGTATCATCCAAAGGACCCGCAACGTTCACTTCAAAGTGCCGAGCGCATGTCGAAGGAACAGTTGCTACCCATTTTTTATCGACTTGGGTCAATCGCGGCCGAGATACGAACTCACGACCTCCCGATCACGGACGAGCGCTCTACCGACTGAGCTACCGTGAACGGTAATATGAAGATAGAGGGAAAGTCCCTAAGGAACATTTTGAACATCAGGTGGTATATCAAATATCGTTTTCTAATGATTATCAAGAATAAAGACATTTTCAAAGAACTCGTGTCATTAGGTGGAAACTCTGTTGTGTCTATCAGAACCGCTTATCAATGGATAATGAATTTCAAACCTGGTAGGGATTCCGTTGAAAAATCAAACAGTCAAGAAGACCAAGATCAATTACCAATAAGAAATCAGTTGCAGAAGTGAAAAATATTATCGACAGAGACGGCAGAGTTACTGTGAAACAGATTTCCAGGAAGCCGAACATATCATTTTATAAATTTTAAAACAACATTTAGGAGTCACGAAAGTACATGCATGTGCAAGGCGGATTCCACACATTTTAAATGACAAGCAAAAACGAAAGCAATTAAAAATTTCTCGAAAACGTTTGAAAAATTTATAGAAAAATTGATAAAAGACATGAAATTGTTACAGGGAATTAAGCTTGGCTACAATTTTATGAACCCTGATAGAAAGCTGGGAAACAAAATATGTCTCCTTAAACAAAGTAAGCAACCTTCCATTGCTAAATGCGACAAAACAACAAGGAAGGTTTTGTATGAAGGATATGGAGATAATGAACAGTATTGAATATCAAAGTCCATTAAACAATACAAAACAGAGTTAGGGTTAGGGTTAGAGCAAAAAAGCGTGCAGAGCAAACACGGACCTCCCAAACATCAGAATTGGGATCAGGTGCCATGGAGGAGTGAGCATCTCCTGCTGACCGGTAACACCTGCCGTGTGCTCCTTGTCATGATCGGGAATTAACAGGAAAATCCGTTGTTAATACTGTGTATAAATAAAGGACTAACACTTTGTATAAAAACCGTCAGTTAGCATTTGACACAATAAATTGTGTTTGCTAACAAGGTCTTTTTATCAACCATAGAACTAACGAATTGATGACTTTTATCTAAACTGCTGATATTGTTGTTTCATCAACTTGTTTGTCAATAATTTACCGCGTTTTAGAAATTGTTTATACGTAGAACATGCTCTTGTGTATCCTATCAACTGAGATATATGAACTCAGTTTGCAGGTTATGAAGGTATATTGCTGCATGAGAAAGGGAATTTGACGACAGAAAGTCATCACGTTTATCATAAAGCTTGGTTGTTAGATTACCATTAAAGTCATTTTCAAGTAAAACATCACAGCATGAAACAGATGTGTCAAACTCTGTGGTATTTTTTATCTCATGCTCACCAGGATATATCGAAACGGCATTGTAATGGAAATGGCCATTGTTAATTGACAATTCGTCATCGTAATATCTAAATGTCTTGTTGAATGCCACAGCAAGTATTTTCTACTTTTCACGCATAAGATTGTGCACAAAATTCTGTTTTATAAGAAAACTAAAATAGGTCTTCTTATGAGGGGCACAATGGGCGGATACATAAACCTTCGAATTCACAATTTGCGTTTCCTTACATATAGATACCAGATACCATATGAAAAAGATGAAGATGTACCAAATTTTACTCAAGACGTGTTCGACTTTTTAGATGAAGCATGGAAAAATCAACTGCACACAAAAGATAAGCACCAATTTTGTTTACAAATAGATATTAATACTGATATTTATTTGTGTATAAAGTAAATTGCAATACTTTGAAATTCCACTTTAGTTACCAGTGGAATGTCTCCTGACAATGTCATGTTTTCCCATGTTGCCTTGACAAGCCATGTTGCATTATAGTCTGGAAAATCCCCGAAATTCAGTCGAATTAATTCATTTGCTTCCTCCAAAAATAAATCATCTACGTCAGTTCGACTCCGTCTGGAAAAATTATTTTAAACATGCATATATGTAAAGCAATAATAAACCAACAACACTGTATTTCTAAGTATCGGATCTACAAAGTATGGTCACGAAGGGGAATATTTATAAAGAACTAAAATGACCAACCTCACGAACAACAAAATTTTTCCAATTTTTGGGACGCCCTTAGGAAAAAAATGCTAAAAAGTCATAAGATCAAAGGAAAAAGAGAAACAAACAAGCAAATTCAAAGAATTGAGGTCCCCCACTTTCGGTGTCTTTGTGGGTGAGATGTCATTTTTTATGACATATTGTGTCAAATATGAAAACCTTATCATATGTCATTTAGAAATTATCACCAAAGGTTTTTTTTTTTCTTTTTAAAAAAGATCAATCATGAAGGTCAAGGTCAAAAGTTAGTTCCAAGGATAAGTTTTTGAAAGGTCAAAGGGTGAAAGTTGGTTTCTTACGAAAGGTCTTGCCACAAGGATTAAATATGTGAAGTATGAAAACCCAGCCCTAACCCTTCAAAAGTTATGGTCAAGCTTTGTTTTTTAAAATTAAGTCAAACGCAAAGGTCATGTCAGATCTCTTGGTATCGAATAAAAGGTCTTTTCACAAGAATAACATATGTATGGTTTGAAATCCCCAGCCCTTAGCGTTGAAAAGTAATAGTCAAGGTTAAACATTTATCATAAATACGGAAATATCCAAGATCAAGGTCAAAATGGTCAAAGTTGTTGGTATCCAATGAAAGGTTTTTTCTAACAAAGGATACATATGTGAAATTTGAAAGTCCTAGTATCTTCCATTCAAAAGTCATGGCCAAAGTGAAACTTAAAAAAAAATTGTGTAAAAGTGGGTCACACTCAAAAGTTAAAAAGTCAAATTTGGTGGTACCCAAAGAAAGGTTTTGTCACAAGGATTACACATATGAAAAATGAAAGTATTAGCTACACTTAATCAACTTCAGTCAGACAGACTGACGGACAGACGAATGAAATTTAATGTTCCCTCGCCTTCGCGAAAGCGGGGGACAAAAACAACTAGCACTACTACAGTACTTAAATACCAAAGATTTATTTACAATGTTACAATGTTGAATTCTATAATCAAATTAATAATTCAATAAGCTTATAGTCAATATTAAAGAAAAAATCCGAACCGCTATGTCCGGTCTGTCCGTTGTACTCTGGTGAACTGGATTTACTCAATAGAAGTTTTCTATAGGAATTTAAGGAAAATAACTATATTTACTTGAAGTTACGTCTCATCATCACTGACATGGCCAACTTCATGAAGGAAACAAGCAATGTCACTTAAGTGATTTATCAAGATTTTGCGCGAATTCAGTCTCTTTAACAAACATTATCCTATCATTAGTCCAAAATGAGTTTTTTTTTTATAGTTACACGCCTTGGATAGTGCTTGAATGGTTTGTTTCCGAGAGTGGCTAAGATTCTCTGAAATACAAATTTTACTTTTTTTAACTAAGATTTTGCCCGGTAGATCCTTTGTTTGATTTTCCAGTTGTTGAATATCCAAAGATATGGGCGTTTTAAAATTTTGCTAAAACTTTTTATATCACAGGAGGGCGGACATCCCTTAAGTATTAAATTCCGACACGTTACACCCGCCGTGTACTCCTTGTCATGATCGAGAAATAATGGAAAAAAATCTGTCGACAATTTAGTGTTTAACTAATGGATATAATTAAGTATGAAAAATGTCAGTCAGCATTTGACTTAATGATAAATCAGTTATTGTATCGACCATAGAAATAACTAAATGATGGCTTTAAACGAGGATACTTATTTTCTCGTTTCAACAACTTGTTTTTCAATAATTTACCTCGTTTTACAAATTGAGCATATGTAGAGCATGCTCTGAGAGATATATACCCGTATGAGGGGGATGAAGGTATATTGCTGCATAAGTAAGTGAAGTTGATGGAGTTGAAGTTGGAGGAAGTTGAATTGGGGCGAAGTTGAAGTTTGAATTTTAAAAAGTTAAAGTCATCACGTTTATCATAAAGCTTGTTTGTTACATGCAAAATACCATTAACGATTTTTTCAGGTAAAATATCCAAATATGAAACATGTTTATTTATTAACTGAATTGAAATAAAAAAAGAAGCTTATTAAGGATATAAAATTTAAAATACCTCGAATATGCCTTGTAGTAAACATTTCCAGCTGTGTGTTGTGACGACACACTTGTATAAAACGGACATATTATTCGTTTATCTTCTGATGTATCGATATAATGTATTGTGCCACCCGTTATTTTTCTCGAATCATTTCCAAGTCCAATTATTCCATTTGATCCGATCTTGAAAACACAAAAATCTCAATTAGAATTTTAAATTTCATACTGAAATCAAAAAGTGTTTTACTCACAATTATGTCTCGGAAACCCTCGACAGCTCCATCTCCTGCAGGGACTTTTATCGGGGAACTAAGAACTGCACTGTGACTGCGATTTCCCAATACACTATCTCCTTCACCATAGTCCAGAAACGTGTACTTGTGTGTATCAGCTATAGAAAAAACTATGTTGTTGAACAACACAACTAACAACTAAATGGAATATATATAAAATATACATAGATATATTAAATCTTACATTTGTTAAATTCTATCCAATACAAAGATGGTTCACTTTCCATAAATATATACCATGGACCGCTAGATATATCCCCATAACTAACTGCAACTATAGTTACGTTATGTTTGGATCCTGGAGAAAATGGCCTTTCCCAATGAACCTCTGGATAACTTCCGTAAGTCAGCTGTTCGTGGCCATTTATTGTGACTTTATAATGATTGAGAAAGGTATTATGTCCAGATTCCTCCCACTTTAAATACAGCTTGTTAGCGATGAGTTTGCTTTGGTTTTGGTTTATATTCCCAGGAGGATAAAGTTCTTTAAAAGTAAAGGAAAAAGAAATGCGTTTAAAGTTATAATTGTCAATATTTCTTGAGTCAATTTCAGATAAGCTAATCTTAAAACATATTTTTCTTTAAAATATGTTTATATAGGATTATTTTGATCCATGGCATTTTCTCATACCATTTTTTAAATGTAAAATTGAAAGATACATAGGTATATAATTGTTTCACTTTCAAATTTTGGCATATACATGTACATCTTTATATATCATTTTTACCTAATATAAACCAAGACGAACTGCTTTCCACGTAAAACGTTTCTGATGGATTGCTAAGTTTTACATTTGATCTTATGCCGAAGTAGTGCAGACGACCAGGTTGAAATTTACATTCACGTGTTGTGTAATTTGTATGGTTTCCAACATTAACTGTTTCCTCGTACCTCCACCCGTTGTTGTGCATGGAATATAGGACAACAGTGAAATTAGTTATAAGATGGTCGTTAGATGATGGCATCCACCATTCCACAGATGCTCCACATTTGCTTTTTCCCGTTATCATGACTCGTGATCTCAAGGATGTTCCTGATCACAAATTGAAAATGATGAGCAGTGAAAAAAACAACAACAATTTTCTCACTATTTTCGAAGCTATAGCATTGCTTATTTAAAGTTATTGTTTGTTATGTTCATTTTTCATTCGCTTTCAAAAAAATGTTAAACAAGGAATTTATAAAAGCAGAGTAATTGTCATAATTATATTCTGAAATCAAGTTTCAGAATGAATAGACATGATGATCTTTAAAACATTTTTAAACACAAATCATAAATAGAATCAGTTTCATTGACCAAATTGTGACCTTATAGGTCTATTTCCTTCATTATCTAATATCAATATAAAATGAATAATGTAAATGAATCATGTACAGAGTGATGAAGATCATGCTGGATTCTTTAAGAATCCTCCCGTTGCAATCATGCATCTTTGTAGCAAGGCTAAAGTTAATTCTTTGAATTTGGGTCTCTAATTGACAGACCACTGTATTCAAAAGTAAACGTCAGTAAAGAATTAAAAGCAACAAAAGCATTCAAAAAGATTCAAACACAGTGTAAAGTGCAGTCATCCTTTGTTCGTAATATATATATTTAACTTTTAACTGTCTGAAGAGCCATTAGGCAGAAAGCGCTAACAGTAAAAATGATTTTCGAGATTTTTGATTTCTGACTTTTTTTTCATTGGATACATATATATATATATATATATATATATATATATATATATATATATATATATATATATATATATATATATATATAGCACAAAAAATGACCAACGACACGAACAATAAAAATTGTCAAATTTTCGGGACGCCCTGTCCCTTCCTCAGGACAAAGAAAAAAGTTAAAAAGTCATAAGAACATTTTTTAGGAAAAAAACAACTAGCACTACTACTAAACACTATATATTTACAATCTTAGTTACATGTTGAATTGAAAATTTTTAAGAAAACTAATAAAGAAAGAAATCCGGACCGCTATGAAATACGTCCGATCTATCGCGTATACTCGGATGAAGTGCGATTTACATAATTGAACGAATTAATTATGCTAATTAATTACGACAATCAGTAAATCGTACATTGTTTCATTCTCTCAATATGGCGTAACTATACTTGAAGAATAATCAAAGAAAAATAATATAGCAGGGATATTTTAAAATATGAATTATGATCTATTATAAATTTTGAAATATTTTAGGACTTATTATCGGAAAAAAATTATTTACAAAGGCATAAACAATTCATAGTTATGTGGGTTGTTCGAGAGTTGGTGACGCAAATTAACTGTAGAGTTAACACTAAATTGAGAGAATAATCTTGTTTAGTATCTTCAGGAATTGGGTCTAGTTTACGTTCATTCTGGTGAAGTCCTTCAGTTTGTTAATACCATTAGGGCGGAATGACTTCAATCTGTGCATCCAGAACTTTTCTTTGCTTTTTCTCTGAGCGTCTGTCCATCTTGGGTTATGGTCAATCACCACTACTGTCATGTCCTCCCATTTGTGACCTCAAGGTTGAAATGTTCCCCAACGGGTTCATTGAGTTTTCTGGTCTTAATGGTCGAACGGTGGTTATTGACTCTCCTGCGGAGATCTCCACTGTTTGGAGCAAACTTTGCAACTGATGAGATAAATGCAGTTGTCAGTATGACAAGACAAATTCCCTAGTATTTTGTAGCTGCGGCCTGTAACAGGGCTGTTAAAACTGTCTGTGTCAGTGCTGTGCTTACAAAGAAGACATTTTCTGTCAGAGAAAGTTTTAAAGCCCCCATTAGGTAATGGGTTTCCAGTCTGGTTCTTACTACCATGTCCTTTAGGTTCCTTGGGCGTCTGTATGCAGCCAATGGGGGGTCCTTAAAGACCTCTGCTATTCGTTTGTTTGAATGGAGAATCGGTAGGTTCTTTTGAAGGATACCGCTAAGGTTCTTAAGGACGGGATGGTATGTGGTTACCAGAGGGACCCTGCCACTATTGTCTTTCTCCTTGTAGCGTAATAGGTTTTGCCTGTCATGTTCCGCCATCTCATCAATAGCTGTTTGTACGGTGCGGGCATTGTAGCCTCATGTAAGTGGGACTTAAGAAGACAACTTTGCTCCTGATATAAGGCAGGGGACGAACAGATGCGTCGAATTCTGGCGGCTAGACCCTTAAGTCTAATTAATTAGCATAATTAATTCGTTCAATTATGTAAATCGCACTTCACTCGAGTATACCCGATAGATCGGACGTTTTTCATAGCGGTCCGGATTTCTTTCTTTAACAGTGTTCTTAAAAATTTCCAATTCAACAATATATAGTGTTTAGTAGTTTAGTAGTAGTGCTAGTTGTTTTTGTTTTTCCTTTGTTCTTATGACTTTTTAACTTTTTTCTTTGTCCTGAGGAAGGGACAGGGCGTCCTGAAAATTTGACAATTTTTATTGTTCGTGTCGTTGGTCATTTTTAGTGCTTTATATAAATTTCCATCCGTGACCTTGTATCTACTTAGTAGATATACAGTGTTGTTGGTTTTTTAGTGCTTATATATATATATATATATATATATATATATATATATATATATATATATATATATATATATATATATATAAAGCACAAAGAAATTCACTTTTACATGGATACCCACTTCCGCCCCAGCCCGGGGTTGAACTCTCGACCTTCGGAATCTGTCTCCTAGCAGTGCAGGAACAGCGAGCTAGACTGCTCGGCTATCTAGGCAAGTCAAAAAACTTGCTTTCGATGCCGATGGAATTCTCGCGGCGCTGCCCTACACTACACGGTCATTGAGAATAGAAGTGAGATACAGTCATTTGGACATTTGTTTTAACAGAGGATTGCTACCAATACATGTTGTAATGAAATTAATTATTATTTATAAAGCACATTTTACAACAACTCTTAAACTAACATAACTGTCCTAAGTGAAGAAATATTAATATAGAAAGCACAAAGAAATTCACTTTTACATGGATACCCACTTCCGCCCCAGCCCGGGGTTGAACTCTCGACCTTCGGAATCTGTCTCCTAGCAGTGCAGGAACAGCGCGCAAGACCGCTCGGCTATCTAGGCAAGTCAAAAAACTTGCTTTCGATGCCGATGGAATTCTCGCGGCGCTGCCCTACACTACACGGTCATTGAGAATAGAAGTGAGATACAGTCATTTGGACATTTGTTTTAACAGAGGATTGCTACCAATACATGTTGTAATGAAATTAATTATTATTTATAAAGCACATTTTACAACAACTCTTAAACTAACATAACTGTCCTAAGTGAAGAAATATTAATATAGAAAGCACAAAGAAATTCACTTTTACATGGATACCCACTTCCGCCCCAGCCCGGGGTTGAACTCTCGACCTTCGGAATCTGTCTCCTAGCAGTGCAGGAACAGCGCGCAAGACCGCTCGGCTATCTAGGCAAGTCAAAAAACTTGCTTTCGATGCCGATGGAATTCTCGCGGCGCTGCCCTACACTACACGGTCATTGAGAATAGAAGTGAGATACAGTCATTTGGACATTTGTTTTAACAGAGGATTGCTACCAATACATGTTGTAATGAAATTAATTATTATTTATAAAGCACATTTTGCAACAACTCATATATATATATATATACATGTGTATATATATATATATATATATATATATATATATATATATATATATATATATAGAAAGCACAAAGAAATTCACTTTTAAATGGATACCCACTTCCGCCCCAGCCCGGGGTTGAACTCTCGACCTTCGGAATCTGTCTCCTAGCAGTGCAGGAACAGCGCGCTAGACCGCTCGGCTATCTAGGCAAGTCAAAAAACTTGCTTTCGATGCCGATGGAATTCTCGCGGCGCTGCCCTACACTACACGGTCAATGAGAATAGAAGTGAGATACAGTTATTTGGACATTAGTTTTAACAGAGGATTGTTACCAATACATGTTGTAATGAAATTAATTATTATTTATAAAGCACATTTTACAACAACTCTTTAACTAACATAACTGCCCTAAGTGAAGAAATATTAATATAGAAAGCACAAAGAAATTCACTTTTACATGGATACCCACTTCCGCCCCAGCCCGGGGTTGAACTCTCGACCTTCGGAATCTGTCTCCTAGCAGTGCAGGAACAGCGCGCTAGACCGCTCGGCTATCTAGGCAAGTCAAAAAACTTGCTTTCGATGCCGATGGAATTCTCGCGGCGCTGCCCTACACTACACGGTCAATGAGAATAGAAGTGAGATACAGTTATTTGGACATTAGTTTTAACAGAGGATTGTTACCAATACATGTTGTAATGAAATTAATTATTATTTATAAAGCACATTTTACAACAACTCTTTAACTAACATAACTGCCCTAAGTGAAGAAATATTAATATAGAAAGCACAAAGAAATTCACTTTTACATGGATACCCACTTCCGCCCCAGCCCGGGGTTGAACTCTCGACCTTCGGAATCTGTCTCCTAGCAGTGCAGGAACAGCGCGCTAGACCGCTCGGCTATCTAGGCAAGTCAAAAAACTTGCTTTCGATGCCGATGGAATTCTCGCGGCGCTGCCCTACACTACACGGTCAATGAGAATAGAAGTGAGATACAGTTATTTGGACATTAGTTTTAACAGAGGATTGTTACCAATACATGTTGTAATGAAATTAATTATTATTTATAAAGCACATTTTACAACAACTCTTTAACTAACATAACTGCCCTAAGTGAAGAAATATTAATATAGAAAGCACAAAGAAATTCACTTTTACATGGATACCCACTTCCGCCCCAGCCCGGGGTTGAACTCTCGACCTTCGGAATCTGTCTCCTAGCAGTGCAGGAACAGCGCGCTAGACCGCTCGGCTATCTAGGCAAGTCAAAAAACTTGCTTTCGATGCCGATGGAATTCTCGCGGCGCTGCCCTACACTACACGGTCAATGAGAATAGAAGTGAGATACAGTTATTTGGACATTAGTTTTAACAGAGGATTGTTACCAATACATGTTGTAATGAAATTAATTATTATTTATAA